AAAAAATGAACCCCCCCCCCCCCCGCGCCCCCCCGCCTACCGTAACCGCGTTGTTGATCACAGGGGACTACCTTGTTGGTGTGGACGGACGGCGTCTCCATGACTACGACCAGCTTATGCTGCTCCTTCCCCGCACGCCGCGCCCCCTGCGCCTGCTCTTCGAGGGGGCGGGTGCGGCCTTGGCTGCCTCTCCTCCGGCTGCGCCTGGCTTCGCCTCGGCGCCGACGGCAGGTGGAAAGCTTGGAGCGAACGGCGGCAGCCGTGCTGGCGGGGGCGGCAACAGCAGTGATACCAGCTCGTACAGCAGCAGCAGCAGCAGCAGCAGCAGCAGCAGTAGCAGTAATAGTAGCAGCAGTAGTGGCAGCAGCAGCAGCGGCGGCGGCGGCGGCGGAGATACAGAGGTCGCCACACACGAAGGTGGCAGGCATAGTGGTGACGAAGAGAAGGTCGCGGTCGTGGATGCTGCCGTGCCGCCCCGACGTAGTGATAGTCCCAGCAAGCGAGACACAACACCGGCAGAGAACGAGCAGCGACGAGCGAAAGACACGGCAGGCGGCGGGCGGCCGGTGACGAACGGCGACAGCACGGCTAGCAACGGACACGATGCCTCCACCGCCGCTGCTTCGATGGCTACCGTCGCCGGTGTCGGCGCACAAGTTGGCGAGGCGACGGCAGCAGCGCCGGACCAGCGGGACGGCGATAGCAGCGAGAGCCCGCCTCCACCGGCGGCGGCGGAGGAAGGCGGCGTGAGAGACGGAGAGGAGCCTCCTTGTCCCGTGGTTGGCGTCGCGTTACCGGAGGCGGTAGCAGAGCCGAGCGACCGGGCACAGGAAGACAAGCCACGACAGAAGGAGCCGGCAGTTGTATCAGAGGAAGGACAACCCTCAGATAATGCGGTTAACGGCGCGGCGGTGGCGGCGGCGGCGGTGGTGGTGGAAGAAGGGGATATCGGAGCGGTGGCGACGGTCGAGGAGGTGGCAGTGGAAGCCCGGGCGAAACAGGAGAGTCGAGAAACACACGCCGCTGCGAACTCTTTCTCGTCACCAAGCGCGGCCGTAGAGGGGGAAGAAGCCGAACGCACGAGGGAGAGCGTCGCGCACAACGGCGGCGGGGGAGGCGGCGGCAGAGATGACGCGGCGGCTGTTGTGTCGTCGAGCGATCGCAAGAAGAAGAAGGGCGGGAAATCGTCGCAGAAGGAAGACGGTGGCGTGTCCTCTGGCGGAAAAGCCGAGCAGGGCTTGGGCGAAGGGTCCAAGGTTGCCGTTCAGGACAAGAAGAAGAGCAGCAAGTGGCGAAAAGGGTTGTTGCGCCGTAGGCACGGGGACGGGTCTTGGACGGTGAGAAAACGCGCCAGCCAGCCACCCGTGGCCTGAGGAGGTCGGGCGGTGCTTGTAGGCTAGTCGCGCAGGCTGGTCGACAGAGCGGCATGTCGAATCGCAAGGATGACAGGCTTTCATCGACCAAGAGAAAAGCTAGCTCGCGCCCTGTCACTCCAACCACCGTTTCTGAAGTACAACCTTGGCTTGAACATGTTCCTTCGATGTCATTCGTGATCCCGGATTTTGCCCAATGCGGCGCAGACAGAGTTAGCGGCCGATTGATTTTGGGGTTGGGTTGAGAAAGTTGCTGAACCATTTGACTTGACGAATCCGTTCCGCGAGGAACAGCCACAGTTGTTCACCCAGTTGTGGCACACAACAAGTAGCCCCCCCCCCCCGTGATTTATCCCATTTGCGGACCCCCGTTGAAAAGGTGCGATACAGCGGCGGCATGGAGGAGAGGCGCGTGGCGGTCGACCGAATGCGTCTCAGAGTCCCAGAAAGAACGTCGCCCCCTCCCGCCCCGGCTGCCGCCGCCGCCGCCACCGCCGCCGCCGTTTCTACCCATGTTACGGCGGCAACGGGCACGTCGGGGGAACGGGTGGAGGGCCGTCGGCGATCTCGAAAAGCGAAGAAGGGAAAAGAGGAGAAAATTTCGCCAGCGGCGGCGGCGGGGGCGGGGACAGGTGGGGGTAGTGAAGAGAGGCGGCATCGCAAAGGCGGTGGCGGCGAAAACGCTGCCGCTCGAGGCGGCGGTCGAAACGGCTGGGAGGCGGCCGCCTCGGCGCCGGGCGCGTGGGCGGCCGCTGACACCGCTCAGGACAGACACGAAGACTTCCGTGCCCCCGGAGAGCTCCGCGACGATTTCTTCGCCGATAACGACGGCAGTGGCAGCAGCAGCCGCGGCGACGAGGAAGCGGTGTCGGCGCTAGCGGGCTACGGCAGGCAAGACCCCGGTGCGGCCGACCCTCCGGCCTTCGCCGCCTCTGCTTACGCGGCGGGTGCCTATGCGGCTCCGAGGCGAATGGAAGGGTTCGGCGGCGGCGGCAGGGGTTGGAGGGGAGAGGGAGAGGTAGCGTCTGGCGGGGGGGGGTCGGTCGGGAAGGCAGCCCAGCAGCCGGTGAAGTCGAGGTATGGTTTTGGAGTGTTTTTCGTTCAGGGTGAAGACATGAGAAATCGATGTGCATGACCGCAGTGTTGCTGTCTGTGGTGTGTTCTGTGATGTTTCGCTGGCCCATCCCTGGACCCGGCCTGGTACCCAAAGTATAATCGTTTTACGCATCCCCTCTCCTCGTGGTTCCCCTTGCGCTTCGCGGGAAGCGGCCGCTGTCTTGTACAGCAGCAGTTTTCGTGTCCCTTGGTCCGTCTTTTGATATTTCCACGTTTTGTGATAAAATACTGAATGGTTGGCGTGATGCTTCTGAACGCTAGAGTCCATTCTATTCCTATTGTTGTGCGCGGTTGAACGTAGGGGACATACGGTGGTCTTCCCCGCGGGAGGTATGGGCCTGACCCTGACCAAGGAGATGAGCGGAGGGTGCTCCGTGACGAAGGTGGTGCCTGGGGGTGTAGCGGACTCGAGAGGCGTCGCTCTCGGACAGCGAGTGTGCGGTAAGCGCCGCCTGCCTTTCGTGTCCATTTTTTTGTCGTATCTGTCGTTGTGCTGTTGTTGCTGCTGCTGCTGGTTGCAGTTGCTATATGCTTGTTGTTGGTTGTTGTTGCAAAGGGTTAGGAGGGAGGGGGGGGGGGGGGGGAA